GGCTGCCAGCTCGTGCCCCCTCCCTGCTGCAAAACTGCAATCCGTGTAATCCAGCTGCTGCCTTACAATTGGCGATGATCAGTGGAACGAGGAGCGGGGCTGCTGCTGCGGTACAGGCACATGCCCGCACGCCGTTGGCGGGCCGAGGCGCGGGGGGCAAGCGAGGGCAAAGCATGCGAGTGGCACACAGGGGGCCCACCCAGCCACTCAGGCCTTGGGGGGCGGTGGCGGCGCCTGCCGCCGCGGCTTGGCCCCCGCCGACGCGCCGGCCGCGGCGGTGGGCGAGGGCGCGACCGGGGGCGCCGAGCCGGGCCTGCCGCCGCCGTCGGGCGCGTGCGCGCCGTTTTCGGTGGCGCTGCCGCCGCCCTCGCCGCTGCTGCTGTCCCGCCCCAGCGCACGTCCCACCGCCTTGAACGCCGCCGTGCCCAGCTGCAGCGCCGCCTGCCCCGCCTCCCCCACGCCTTGCATGAGGGTGACGGGGGTGAAGTCGCCGTACAGCGCGCCCGGGTTGCTCACGCCGCGTGGCACCTTGTCCGGCGGGATGAGCGGGAAGGCTCCCGCCAGCAGCAGCGCGCGCACCGACAGCAGCGCGGTGGGGTCGTCGCGTGGCGTGGTGGCCGCCCGCACCTCCTGCACCTTGCGCACCTCCGCCTGCGCCTCCGCCAGCTCCCGGGACGCCTGCTGCGCCGCGTTGCGCCTGCAGCGGTGAACCGCACCCCGGGCACCGATTCAGGGCTTTTACTTTCTTGTAGGCGCGCCAGGGGGTCCCACGTACGGGGCGCCCGCCCGCGCCGCCCCCCCCACGGCTCAGTCCACACACACCTACACCCCTTGCACACAGCAGCCGCCGCGACTCCCCAGCCGGCAGGAGCTGCTCCCGCCTCTCGCCCGTCACGCAGCCCCCCAGGCTGCTCCTGCCGCCCGCCAGCCAGCCATCCAGCCTGCCAGCCAGCGTGCCCCCGCACTCTCCCCCTCCCCCCAGCAGCCTCTCACCGCTTCACCAGGGTGGGGTCCTCCGCCAGCAGGGCGTCCACCTCCACCGGCTTCAGCGCCATGAGGTAGTTGTACAGCTGGTCCAGCAGGCGGTCGCGGGAGCGGATGACCTGGGGGGGAGGAGGGGGGGAGGGTGTGGTGTGGTGTGGTGTGGTGTGGTGTGCCGTCGGGACACGTAAGAAGGTGTGTGCGTTGTGTGTCTGTGTGTGTGTGTGGTTGGTGGGGTAGCTGATGGCTGAGGTGCCCTTGGGCTGGCAGGTGTTGAGGCGGGGCGAGGAGCAGCCTCTTTTGCATGGGGATGGGCGGCACAGGCACGCGCCAGCCGACTGCCGCCCCAGGG